ATCTATTTTTACATTTTAATCAGATTGCCTTGGATTTCAGGTTTTAAATTGGTTTGTATAATTTTATCATTGATAACCCACTTATTTTCAATTTTAGCCTATTTAACCTATACGTGTGTGATCTTTCCCATTGACAATGTCGAAGGTTAACTTTCGAAAAGCATATAAAGATCTGCCAAGGGCCTGGATCCGTCAGCAAGCTGCTACAAGGATCTGTCTTGGTTGCCGGGATGCAGAGGCCGGGAGGTATGTCCTCCATAAGCATGTTACCATTCTGGCAGAAGCCCTGACCAAGTACGAACAGTACGACAGTCTCCGAGGATTGTATGGCACTAAGACTGAGAGGGAGCAGATCTCGAGATATTGGAAAACCCCTGATCAGGTCTGCTACCCATGTCACTCATCGTTCAACACCTCCTGCTTACTCCAAGGAAGAGGATAGAGATGAAGATAGCGACGATATCGAGACTGTGGAATGTAGACAAGTGGGTAAACGTTACAGCCGGGATGGTAAATCAAGCTATCCTCGATCTTCTACCCATGAAAAGCAAACAACTGTTACACCCGTTAGCAAATCGGTCCCTACTAGCCGAAAATCATCTCCATCACAATCAAGTTCTGATAATAGATTGACCGCCCTCGAAGATCAGATGGTGGCTGTTAACCAGAAGCTTGATGCGGTGTTTGAAATGCTAAAACCACGGGGGGATCAGTGCTATGAATGCCACCAGGTGGGACATTGGCGAAAAGACTGCCCGCAGTTGGGAACTTCATCTAAACAAACCAGGCAGGTTGGCGCTCAGGGTGAGGAACCTTTAAACAAGTAGGGGTCGGAAGCCATGGCCAGCTAGCTGTCCATCCCCATTGTAGCGGCCAACAACAACAAGAAGGTTGATCAATTTACGAAATGGGTTGAGATCAGTCCCGTTCCCTCCCAAACCGCCAAGGTGACTGCGAGAGCATTGGTGGGGGATTTCTTCTCCCGCTTTCGGGTTCCCTTCCAGTTACACTCTGATCAGGGGAGGAATTTTGAAAGTGAATTGTATAACTCTTTATGTCAAGTCTTACAGATCCACTAGACCCGTACTACCAGCTACCGGCCGTCAGCCAACGATCAAGTAGAGCGGTTTAATCGTACGTTGATGGATGTGGTAAGATGTTATGTTGGCAAGAGACAGAAAGACTGGGATGTCCATCTTCCGCAACTTGCTGGTGCATTACGCGCCACAGTAAACAGATCTACAGGGTTTACTCCGAACATGCTGATGCTAGGCCGGGAAATTAATCTTCCCGCTGATTTGATGTTTGCCCAGTGCCAGTCGGGGAAAGCTCAGGAAGTTGGAGACTACATTTCAGAATTGGTTCATTCCATTCGGGATGCTCATGATATAGCCAGGGAAACCCTCAAGGAGACTCAGAAGTGCATGAAGAGGAATTACGATTTGCATGTTCTGAAACGGCCTTACCAACGTGAAGATAGGGTATATATACTCGATAACAGCACCCTCAAAGGCAAATGGGAAGGGTCTGTGGAAGGGTCCAGGAGTCATAATAGACGTCATAACTCCGTGTTTATTCAGGGTACAATTGAGGAACAAAGTGATGATCCTCAATCATGATAAGTTGAAGCTTGCCTTGATAGGCAGCTTCCCAAATGGTTGATGCCCCAGGAACGCTGTATTGCAGTTGTCACAAACCCTGGGCAGGCGCCTTTATGATTCTCGCCATCGGATGCCCTGGACATTGATTTGTATAAGTGTGCCCAGTGTAGAAACCCTGGCCAGCTAACCATTCACTAACGTGTAATGTTAATAACTAGTTCAAGTTCCTTAGTTAATATCATGTCCATTTCTAACCACATGTATTGTATTTCCTTACTCTCGCAGAAATGGACAAACAAGATCAACTGCCGTCCGCCGATGAGATGGACGTTCAACTTAGTGTGGCCAAGGAGAGCAAATGGTTTGTGCGGAGATTAATCCTGCTAATCACCCTGCATCACTGATCCACTGGCGATGTTCGGCGGCTATTGCCGTCCGTGTCAAGCCGGATGTCCTCCGGACTATCTTTCAGCGAGCGAAGGGGGAGGTCACTGGAAAGGTTACCGTTCAACACGCTGTTCAACCCCCTCAACCCCGTGGAAAGAGGGTTCGTCAGAAGGAGTCGAGAAAGGAGTTTAAGCCCAAGAGAAGGGCGCTTCCACAATCACGTGGGACGCCGCATTCTTCCCAGGGCTCAGCGGCGAAAGCGTATGATGCCCATTTTCACCTGGACCGTTTGCGTCAGGGGCTGAGAGTGTCTTCTTGGGCCACTCTTGGTGACCTGGAGCGGGTGGAGCCAGCATGGGGCGACGTCCGTCCCGTGTCTGTGGTTGGGGGTGTTACAGTTTACTGTGACCCACAGACCTACCCCACGGCACGGGAAGTACACTTCATTACCCGGGATCTACACCTAGAAGTTGCCGTTGGTATTCATCCAAAACATGATCTGACGCCCAATCAATTTGATCGGCTCTACTTCCTATCAAGAATGAGGGAGGTGAGGATTCTAGGGGAAATTGGCCTTGATCATACCCGGCCCCCCTCAGATTGGTATTGCCAGGAGAACCTTTTCTGAAGAGTGCTGAACCGGTGCTATGCTCATCACCAGCACCGGGTAGTGTGCCTGCACCTACGTGGTATGGCCGGTGATCCCACGGCAGAGGAGTGTTACTCTCGGGCTCTGGATATTCTGAGGCTGTCCCGCGTCCCTCGGGAGCAACGCTTGCTGCTGCACAACTACACCTCCACCGTTGCCATTGCCGATGCTTTCCGTCATCATTTTCCCGCCACGCTTTTCAGCTTTTCGTTGGCCGTGAGTGGGTTCAACAACCAACAACGCCAGGCATGCAGGCACATCGAAGCTGTGGATGACAGACGGTTGCTGCTGGAATTCGATGGACCACACTTCGCACCAGCGGGACATCGAGTTGGTTCCCCCACATCTTCTGTGGGCAACAGTGGCAGCAGTTGGGGAGGTGCTCGGCTGTGAACTCTGTCAGATCCTGGATGGAAGAATGGACGAGACCTTTTCTAAAAAAAAGTGCAGCATGTCATAAAGAAGATTTTATGTTTGTTTTTATATTCTGTTCTGGGAATTAATTTACTTTGTATTTTTCAGACCCGGATGATTCAGCATAGTAACCATCCGAGAGAACTGCTTTTCGCATTATTGCCCATTGAAGACATCAGTGTACGTTCACCGGGTTTCCTGTACAATATGTGACTCAGCGAGCCCATACGTTTTCCGACTAGTTATCAACAGGATGTCAACTCTTTTCAAATAAGGGAGGAGTGTAGTGACGGCCGCCGTCTGTTCGAGAGACCGATCAACGGTAACAACCTCTAACCCCGGCATCTGTGTATTTGCATATCCTGCCCTCAGGTATACAGGGGAGGTATCGCCGAGATCTTGGGGAATTGTCGTCACTCGTACACTGGACTTTATGCAAGACGCATCTTAGCTTACGCTACAGGATTGGTTTTATGGTGTATCTGGTGTCCGGGTTTTTGCAAGAGTGCTACCATTGGAGTACTGTTGTGATTGGTTATATATATTGGAGTATTATCGCAAGAAGCAAGACATCCTATTGGATAAGGTAAGCTTCTCTCGGTATTATCACAGTATATAGGCGATAGATGTCGGTAGGCACTGGCAGGCCTAGGCTAGGTAACTGACGAAGCCGCCGGTAATTATTAGGCTTAGGCCTAGAAAAGGCAGGTTAAAGCATTAATATGATTATCTTATATTAAACGCCTAATTAAAGAAACTCTATACAGTACATTCATTTTACTAGACAGTACGTCTGTTCCGACGAACGTTCAGATCTTGTGTAGGAAGTGATAGGTGACTGATAATGTGTTAAACAGCTGATGCATTACGACGCGTTACGACGCGTAGCGATCGCTACGTAGCAGTTCGTGCTACGCAAAACCTACGCATTGCCTACGCAAATCATACACATTATCTACGCGTGCTACGCAGGCAGTAATTTTTATCTGTACTGTACGTTGTTCGACTGGTTATCGACGGGATATTATCAGCTCTTTTCAAGCAAGGGAGAAGTGTAGTCCGTATTGGAGTACCACTGTGTACTGGAGTGTAATACTACGTATCTGATATATTGGAGTATAATCGCTATACGCTGGATACCCTATTGGATAAGGTAGGCTCCATTTGGATTAATTGTATCACAGTGTATATATATTTTCATTCATTGAAAAAGTCGAATGGCCAAGCGGTTAGCAGGGGCGCTGCAAGCTATAGCCATAATATCGGCGCTGGTTCAAACGGCACGCTTGCCTATGGTTCTGGTGGTTGAACAAGTCCTCTCGGATAAGGACTATAAACTGTAGGCCCAGTGTATACGCTGGCTTGTGAGCAATCTAAAGAACCCACTACATCCTTCAAGACGAGTTGGGGGATACCCCGGTGTACTGGAACAGACAGCCCCTGTGGTGGACAAGAGTTGCTGGTACCGGGTTACCGGGTAGCACTGACATGAAGGGACCCTTAGGGGTGAAGAAAGTCATTAATCGAGTTCCTAGTCCACATATCAAGCACCCTGAGCATCTTATATTACTATATAAAACTGCACTATTATTATTATTATTTCAACTCATTTATTTATTTATCCTTTCTTTATACTGAATATACACTTTCAATACATAGTTACTGGTTTCCAAAGTGGTTCAGTTCTTAACTACAAAATTTTAAAAGCAGATATATACATATGGTAACCAAAAAAGGTGGATAACTGTAACTACCAATTAAGATACTGTACATTTAAAAGGAACATATTCTTTCCATTGCACTCATAATCATTCATTATTTGTATGCTGACTGTATACACCATACTTTTATAAGCAATTACAGTCAGGTTTTGAGTACACTAAAATACACTTTCCTCACTGTACAACTGAAATAGAGACTTGAAGTCTAAAATAAAATAGTATGCTTACCTATAAAAACTTGCATTCCACTTAAACACAACTTTTTTGTAGTTTCAAATCCAATACCAGCAGCCCCACCAGTAACTATTGCAATGCGGCCACTTTGATTTTCAAGACCTGAAAAACACACATTTCAAAAATAATTCAGATGAAGAAAAAATTCCATTCTATAGGTAAATTCACAGTTAAAATACTAAAGAGCACCTTTCAAAATTTTGCCATGTATACTTTTCATATGAAGAAAAAAAATGCTTTAAATGAAATTTCATAATACTGATATTTTCACTTTAATGGTCATTGTTGAAATTAAATTTTCAATCCAAAGCCAGCAGCCCCACCAATAATTGTATATAGCAATATGAACATTCTTAATTTAAAGACCCGAAAAAACAAACATTTAAAAATATATCAGATTATGAAACAAAAATTCCTGTTATAAATATATATCTCAGAGTTAAGGTACAAACGGTGCAAACCCAATGTTTTGGCACACAACTTTTCATTTAAAATAAAATATGTGTGATAAAATTTTTGGATATTGTAAGTTAATGACAAGGCATAGGTTTCTTGTTGAAGTCAACAAAGAAATTTTAGGTAGGCCTCTGGGGACCACCAATGGCAACAGTGTGGGTGCTTACCACAGGGAGACAAATTCCTACTCTTTTCAGATAGGACAGTGTACTAAGTTCTGTTTTATGGACATTAGTAAAAATGCTGTACATAGGCTTATTCTAGCAAAGGGCTGCAGCAACAGTTCACAGCGTCTCAGTGCAACATACTGTAATTCTCCTTCAGCCAATCCTGATATTGTACATGCTGCTCTCCAAGGCAAAAACCTAAATTTAAGAGTAAATTTGCAAAAATCCATGTTTTTATTACATTCGCATGGCCTATGCCCAGTGGCTGTACAGGGGAGGGTCGATGATAACGACATTGTCAACAATGACAATTAAGTATTTATAAATTGCCAATATCACTATAAACCAGAGCAAACATCAAAAGTGCTGTGCCTGATGTTAAAACAGTCAAGGCAAGCAAGGTATGCAGTGCATACCCTGGCTAAAAAAAATAAAAAGAAATATAGTAGTACAGTTTCTCAGTTTTATTTAGCATTTCTTAGTCAGGATCTTTTATATACACCTTAATTTTTCGAGTGGAATGCTACAGGTTCATTGGAATAGCAAAGTTTTTCAATGTTTGGCCTTTTGGTACCTAGGATATCGTCACAGTCGGGCTATCGCATCGTACTCTAGCTGCTCAGAATTTCCGCATGGCTGGTCTTCGATATCCGCCAATCACGTATTCAGTGAGTCGATGAAAGTCAGAGCATACCCTACAACGCTTAAATTTGCTATTGTAACAACCGAGTGGTGGCGTCAGAATAGCCAATTTAACACTGGAATGGAAGCAGTGCTTCCTAGAGTATGTGCGCATGCTCTTGTTTAAATATAGTTACATACATATGACCGGTGTAGAAGAAACTTTGAATTATTATTTAATTTGAATTGAAATTTGTTAAAATACAGGAATAAGAATTCTTTTGAAGATGCAGACAACTATGCCGGTTTTAAAAATAACATACATTATATTTTGACTACAGAACACAATCTGATTCTGTATAAGTAGTAGGCTTACAAACTTTTCCTATCACTAGCAGGCAATAGCATTAGTGGCATAGGGGGTCTTGAAATGGAAGGGAGCTGAGGGGACAGGAAGATAAAGTGGGGGATCGGTGATTAGGTGAGTGGATAACTCGCAAAGTAAGGTGATATGAGGTGATTTTTAACTACTTAACCATGATTTGTGGGTGGGGGCACGACTGGGAAATGGGCTAGTCATTAGTTATGAATAATTCATAAGAAAACTAGCACAACTAAATCAAAAACCATGTTTTTATCTGAAATTATAGCTAAGGTAATTAAAATGCCAAATTATTTTGAACAACAGGTTTTTAAAATTTTCCAGCCTGGTTTTTAAATACTATACTGGTAATTTATTGAGAAACAGCAATACCTGCTGTGATAATGACTCTTAAGTAGAGGTATTCTTCTTTGATGTTTAATTGGATTATTGAGATAAGATTCTGGCAAAACCTGGTTCACCAACCCGCCTGAATGCCCTTTTAAAGGGTTTGCTGGTAAATAGGATAGGGTACGGGTCCAATTTGCGTCAGGTCAAGTAGAAATTCGTTAAAAACTATGAAGTTATGTATTTGTTAAAAATCCTGTTTCATTCATAGCATATATTAACTATGAAACATTATTTATAATAACAATATAATAAACCATTGGTTGCTAATTAACTGCTTTTAATTAAAATTATACAGGTAGTCTACCTACGTCGCTAATCAGGCGAGTTCCAGTTTGCGTCACCCAAGTGACCCCAATTAGCGTCAACCTCTATTCAGATACCGGAAGTGAATTTGTATGGCTTGTTTAAAGGGTCAAACAATGTTTATGATTGATAATCAGTACTCTGATGATAGTAACGTGTTGCAGCAGTTATAGGCCTATATCTAATATTACAAATCTATGAAGACAAATTGCTTATGTTTGTGATACAATTACAGTATACAATTAAATGTGTGTTCCCATGCAGTTCAATACGGTACTTTTATATCAGTATAGATAGGCCTACATATACATTTAGTTTGTTTTTGCTTATTCAATTAATGAATATATACTGTCTCTTATACACATCTAGATGTGTATAAGAGACAGGTACTGTACGTTGTTCGAGATTACTATCAATCTTCGTTGGTTTTGCTCTAGTGCCCTTTGATTTTTTCTTGGCTTCCCGCTCCTCCTTTCGCTTTTGTTTTGCCGCTTCAGCCTCTGCCTTTTCATTTGCCTTTGCTTCGCCAAAGGCTATAAATTGTGCACCGGAAAGAGCTTTCGGCATCGCTGTAACCACTTTATTACTTTCCTTTAATATTTTAGTTGGATACCTGATGTGATTTTTGAAGACACTAGACACACCATTGCTGGGTGTCGACGCACTACTGGTGTTGGTTTCACGAGTGACTTCATCGGCGCCGGCGGTTCCAGTTATTGATTTAAAATAGGCTGTCATCTCAGCGTTCTTAAGGTGTTTCCATTGTTGGTATTCATGATCTTCACAATCATACCCGTTGTCGTAACGGCGTTCGAACAAGACAACTTCTTTTGTTCCAGAACCGAATGTTGCCAGAGTAAGGGCAGCAGACGAGAGACCAGAGTTTTTCTGGTGATTTTGCTTGAGCTGCTGAAGATTTGGGAAGAACGGCGACTTGCGCAGCGACGGAGGGCTCAGCTGTGACGGTGTGTCCAGCGACAGCGTGCCCCAACAACGGCGACGGCGAGCTCGGCGGCGACGACGAGCTCGGCGACGGCGAGCTCGGCGACGGCGGTCTGCACAGTGGTGGCGCGTTCAGCGGCAGCATATGCGGTCTGGTCAACAGTCGTTTCCCCCCTCCCTTACAAAGACTCCTAATGGTTCGACTTTCTTCCGGTCTATTGTGAAGGGGTATAGCCCGGCCTTTCTGAAGCCACTTGCTGCATTTTGTTTGTTTGCCGATTCATTCCAAGCGGGTGTGAATACTCTGCTAAACGTTTGTTTGGTGACGGCTTCTCCTGGATTGGCGAATTGATACCTCTGCTCTGAACGTCTCCAGGTCGACTTTAGAGATGAATATAGAGAGAGATCCAGTGGTTGAATTATGTGACTGCAATGGCTTGGAAAACAATAAAGTAAAATGGAATTATCTCTGCAAAACTTACAGGTTTCTAATTCATGTGAGTCGCATGACCGTCAACAAATAAAATAATAGGAAAAGGAATACCGGCATTCTTAACACATGTAAAAAAATGATTTGCCACCCATTCAAAAAAGACCTCCTGGTCCATCCAACCATTATGGGTCCTACCCAGAAAGCTCCCAGCTGGTGCTCCTTGCAAAGGGTTATATATAAATCTCTGGCAAGGAAACACCATCATTGGCGGAACATAAAAACCATCGGCATTACAACAACCTAGCACAGTTATCTGTGTCTTGGTGCTGCTGCCGACTTGATACACATCCTTAATGCCGAGCTCGGCAATAACCCTCCAAATTTTAATACACAGTGGGAAGCCAGACTCATCTGCATTAAAGAGCCGTCGTAGATCATTTAATACTTCCTCCAGTCCTTGTTCTTGGATGTAGGTTTCGAAGTCGATAAACCAATTTTGAATCTCTCCTTCCCAAGGTGTTCGGAAATCCATTTTGTTAGTCGGGGATGGCGCTTGAAAAAAAGCGATACCCATTTCTTTCCCGGTCTGTTGTTAACAAAACCGTTTTCCCGCCCATCTTCATCAAGAATTCGCTTTACTTCATCTTGAAGTTGCCATCTCGTAAGTGGATATCCAATTCTTGCCATCTGAATAAGCCACTCTTCTAATAACTGAAATATACAACCAAAAAATATTAACTTCATCAAAAAGCAAAACTGTATTTAACAATTATCGTATTGTATATAAAATAATATGGTTCATTTAACATTACCATAGCAATTGATATGGAATTCCTTGCCGATTTTTTTTTGCAATTCGTCTAATTTGCTTTCTTTTTAAAAAAAATCTTAAAACTTACCTTAAACTTATTATTATTATTATTATTATTATTATTATTATATTTATTATTATTATATACTCACATCTTCTTCGGCACCTGTTAGAACAGTTTTGGGCCCTGATTTACCCGTTATCGGCCGCCGATTATGTAGTTTGTCTGAGAGGGTTGTCCTCGGTATGTCATAAATAGATGCTGCCCTGCTGGTTGCAATCTCCCCCTTTTTTATACGTTCAATTGCAGGCAAGATTAGTGATGGGTCAGTATATTTACTCCTCTTCAACTTCTCTTTCTGCCGGTAATCTCGGTGGAGCCATAGCTAAAATATTCAATCCCGATTTTGATAATAATACGTATGCCTCTCAAGAGTGCAAAATAATTTAGATGAACGAAAAACATGGCCATAGTAAATAAAATTAATATTATTATTTTTTTTTAACGAAAATAATAGCAACAATGATGATAATAATAATAATAATACCAATACAGTAAATAATAATAATAATAATAATAAAATAATAATAATAATA